GTAGTGACTCATGTGACAGAGTTGAACTGTCCCAGAGGTTTTCTAAGCTATGCTCTTTACAAAACGTCCTCATGGTGCCTGCTAACTGAAAGGTCAGTGGTTCAAAGGCACCAGCCACTTCACGGAGAGACGTGGCAGCAGGTTTCATTAAAGACGATCGCTACGATTGTGATCGACTCAACAGCAAATGTGCTCACTCTTTACACAAGCAGGTCTTCAGCTCTTCTGCGGTGGAGCCCCTGGGTGGGTGCGAACCGCCACCCCCTTCAGTCAGAAGCTGAACCTTTAACTGTTTGTACACCCGGGGTCACTTTTAGAGATTTAACATACCTCAGAACTAATGCTCATATATCAATCTGTCTCAATAGACAGAAAGAAATCTGCCTTCGAACCTCAGTTGTTCACAAACTAACAGATGGGGAAGGCTTTGGACTTTGCTGATCTGACTTCTTCATTCAACAGCCTACAACTAATGAACATCACTGCTCAGAGGTGTGGGCTACACAACTGTTTAGGCCTCTGCCACAGTTAATATGGGATTACACTCATATTGTATGACCTGAAGGCCACTGTAACAAAGACTTCCAAATGACCACCACAAAACTATTAAGTATCAAAGATTTCCCATGTGAACCCCCGTAAACAATTCTTTAATTCAGAAGTGAGTTTTATGTATTTATTCAGGTGATTCAATTATAGAACAAAACCCTTTTCAGTGTTTTGAAATCTTTTTTTTTCCCCTCAGAAATTCAGTTTATTACAACTTTTCCAATTTCAAAGATATTCCAGTATCTGAAGTTTTTCATACATTCAGGTATTTGGCATGATGTCTGATGTGATCAGCAATAAAGGTTGCAATGAAGTAGTAGCTGTGATCATAACCCTAGAAGACAAAACACACATAATAAGGCACTGATTTATTTAAAACAAAAAAAATGAGATCTTAAAGAAAGCTCTCATATCACTCTGCTTGTATATAGGTATTACAACACGAGGAAGGTTTACATGTCCACATTTTTGCTGTATTTGTTAAAAGCGCAGCAAACATTTGAAAAATTGAAGAAAAACATATTCTGCCTAGCTCAGCTTTTCAACGTTGTCATTACTGATATGCCACTTCCCTGCATATTAAGATGCCAATTATATGTGCAGAACAGACATGTGGTTACTTCACAAGATTTGAAAGGATCAGATAGGATTTGGGGAGATTAAGCTCATAGGCAAGAAAATCCAAATCACAAAGAAGTACATCAGTAAGACAGCGAATGTTCAAATACAAAATAAGCAAACAATCTAGAGAAAGAACAAGAAAATGTCCAAATGCCCACGATTTGCATAAAAGAATTAATGAGCTGAGAGTTCCACAGCTCCACCCTCAAGGTTCCTTGCACCTTTACTTGAGGAATAATGGATTAAACCTGGCAGCCTTTAGCAAGACACTATATTTGGTAAACACAAGGGGGCTTTAAAGAGTTCATGGTAAAAGTGGAATTAAGAGAGAATGGCGGGAGAACAAACAGATGGTGGTTCGGGTAGAGTGCAGTGAGGAGCTCCATCAGCAACAACACAGAATACTGGACCAAGCAGGCTCAGGGGATGGTGCAAGAACTCTGAACCACATATAAAGGAATATTTACAAGGTTGGAAGGATTACAGCTAGGGGAATTTGTAGCAGAAACAAGAAATCCAGTGCTTTCTAATCCAAGGTGCTCAAATGCTCCCGGAGCTGCCATCTTGGGCAAAACCAAGCAAGGGAAGGATCAGACCAACCACGGAAACCCAGA